GCAGATCTTCTGCCAGCTTGCTGGTGGTTTTGTTTTCTTACCAAAAGAAAACAAAAGCAAGAGCGCTAGAATGTCCACCCCACACGACAGGCCCCTCCGTGGGAAGAGGCCTTGAAATCTGGTGATGCGGAGGCTGGATTAAATTTCTCTCTCCCGCCCAAACCGTCTCTACACAAACACGCACTTTGCACTGTCTGTGAACACTTGAAATACATATACCCTTTGACGACCATTCCACTTCTAGAAATTTCTCTGAAAGGGTATCTCCCCACAAGTGTACAAAGAAATACGTGCTAGGAAGTTCATTACCGTGGACACTCTGGATTTAATTAATAAATGATGGCGCGTTCACACAATGGAATCTCGTGTAGTCATCAAAAAGAACGAGGGAAATCCATTTGCCCTGACGTTGAATAATGCCCAAGATTCATTAATGAGAAAAGCAGGCTGTCCCTCTCAGGAGCACATGGCGCTGCTCCTGTCCCCTCCACTCCCCCCAGGCGTGTTGCCTTTTTCTCTCCTAAACTCCAAGGGCCCCTTCTTTTGCCTCTGTAACTTGTTTCCTGAGCCCATTTCTTCTGCACTTCACTTCTTCTACCTCTGTGACTTTCTTAACAAACTCTCTCTCATAGTTTTGGTTTTTTTTGGGGGGGGGGGGGTGCGGAAAGCCCTGGCCAGGTGGCTGGGTTGGTTGGAACATTGTCCTGTACACCAGAAAGGTTGCAGGTTCTAGTTCATACCTAGCTTTCAGTTCAACCTGGGTTGGCAATGTTTCTCTCTCACATGGATGTTTCTCTCTCTCTCTCTCTCTCTCTCTCTCTCTCTCTCTCTCTCCCTTCCACTCTCTAAAATCAATACTAAGTAAATAAACAAACATATCCTCAAGTGAGGATTTTAAAAATTGTTTTTAAAAAGAGAAAAAGCAAAACTGTATGACCATATGTCATATAATCCCACGTGTGTGGTATATGCATACTTTTTATGTCTATGCAAAAAAAAAAAAATCTGAAAAATTCTATGTAAGAACCTGTTCAAATGTTTAGCTAGCCGTGAAGTTTACATTATGGGGTTCTCCATTTTCAAAGTTTCTAAACTGCTTCCCCAACAAAGACCCATGACTTTGGTAAGCAGGTGAGGGAGTGGGAGAAAAGTAACCAAAAAAAAAATTGAAAAAGGAAGGAAGGAAGGAAAACACCCCCGCCCCCCCCCCCCCCCCCCCCCGCCCCCGGCTTAGCTAGGGAGCAGGTCCTAAAACACCCTCCCACCAACTCCCCGGCCGGGGGCCAGCAGATGGCCTTGGAAATGATGTATGGCTGCAGACTGCTTACCCCTTAGCCCCGTGCTGGCCTGGGCCTCCCTTACTGCCTTCATTCAGCCCTCCTCCCACTGGCCTCCGTCCAGAACGGCCTGCCTGCGGTGGAGAACAGGCTGTCCTGAGCACCCTCAGTGCTTCTTCGGAATTCAGTGCTTCCCAGGCCCCAGTGAAGTTGTCCGTCTCAACAAGGACTTGGAATGACAGTGTGAAAGGAGGGTGGGGACTTCTGGCCAGATTTGAGGCCAGAGCTGTACTGGGCTTCAGAGATAAAAGGGCCACTCCTCAGGAAGGGGAGTCGGGGAGCGGAAAGCCGGCCCTTAGTCTAATCAAGGCGGGGAAGGAGGGAGGGAAGGGGAGGTCAGAGCGCTGAGATGCCGCTTAGCTCCTAGCTCCTGTTGTCTGTGCCAGGGGCACAAAGAGCCGGCCTGGGAGGAAGGATCTGGATGTACCACTAAGGAGTCCTGTGTCCTTGGGCAAGTCATGCCCCCTCTGGGACTTAGGGACCTTGCTTCCTTCCTCTTTGCCTTTTCTCTTCCTTAAGCAAGTGCAGCACAGGAGAACTGGAGAGGGCATGGGAAGGGGACCACTGCCATCTTTGCCCGAATGAGGAGGGGCTCAGGAAAGGGCAGAGTCCCCAGGGAACGTGCCCTCCATCTGGATTTTACAACCCAACTTGTATGAGGTGAGGTGGGGGAGGGCAGCTCAGAAGGGGGCCCCAAATCTGGAATCACTGGTTTCCTTCAGCTTCACCCCACAGGCAGCCGGGCCCTGCCCATCACTCCCGGCCCCCAGAGATCCTCTGCCTTCAGGAGCCTCTCCCTCAGCATCCATCTCAGGGGTCAAAGGAAGTCTATTTAATAACAAAACTAGCCCTAGCCGGTTTGGCTCAGTGGGTAGAGCGTTGGCCTGTAGACTCAAGGGTCCCAGGTTAGATTCCGGTCAAGGGCATGTACCTTGGTTGCGGGCACATCCCCAGTGGGGAGTGTGAAGGAGGCAGCTGATCGATGTTTCTCTCTCATCGATGTTTCTAACTCTCTATCCCTCTCCCTTCCTCTCTGTAAAAAATCAATAAAATATATTTTTAAAAAGAATAACAAAACTGAAACAAGGGACCAACAACCCACCCCCAATCCTGAGCCTATCCTCACTCAAACCGTTAGCCCAAAAGCGCAACAGGAAGAATGCCTAGGCAGGAGGGACCAAGGCAAGATTCTCCCAAACTCGCCACCCACACCCAGCCAGACGTAGCTTTCTAATTAGAATTCCCCAGTGCTGCCCTCTCCCCACAACCCCTTCAAAACCACTGGCTTCTCTATCTCACTCTCACTTGCACCACCCCCATCAGCTGGCCAACCGGTTGTGGGGAAGAGTTGGGATATTCCTTGGTCTTCTGTGGACCATGGCCCCAGGCTAGAGCCTGCCCTGGGAGAGAAGATGGTCCTAACCAGATAGGGAGGGAGGGCAGAGCCAGAACCCAAAGCTGGCACCTTGGAGGCCCCTTTGCTGGGGGGGCGGGGGGGGAGCACCTATTCATATATCCTTCTCCCAAATCCAGAGACCTCGGTCCCCCAGGTGACCAGAACTGGAGAAAACAAGTCCTTGCCCTGGCTGGTTTGGCTCAGTGGATAGAGCGTCGGCCTGCGGACTGAGGGGTCCCAGGTTTGATTCCGGTCAAGGGCATGTACCTTGGTTGCAGGCACATCCCCAGTAGGGGGTATGCAGGAGGCAGCTGATCCACGTTTCTGACTCTCTGTCCTTCTCCCTTCTTCTCTGCAAAAAAAATCAATAAAATATATATTTTTAAAAACACACAGGTCCTTGGAGATTTTGAGACAAAAGAGCCAAATTTGGGATGGAGTAGGGAGGAGAGATTGCCCAGCAGAGCAGATTTTTTAAAATATATTTTTTTATTGATTTCAGAGAGGAAAGGAGAGGGAGAGATAGAAACATCAATAATGAGGGAGAATCATTAATCAACTGCCTCCTGCACGCCCCCTAAGGGGGATCGAGTCCGCAACCCGGGCATGTGCCCTTGACCGGGAATCAAACCCTGAGTGAGCCACGCCGGCTGGGCCGAACAGATCTTCTAGCTAGTTTTGCCCCAGCCTGTTCCTGGGCTGCAGAAGAGGGCTGTGGTGAGGACTGGGAGCCATGAATCACAGGCATGGGTAGAGGGTGGCCAGGTAGCACGTGTCCCCAGCAGAACCAGCCCAGCAGCTCTGTCAAGTAGGCCCCAGCTCTGATGCACACTGGGCACCCTTCCGGATCAATGCACACTCACCCCTGTGCTACCAGCCACGGGGATGGGGGTGGGGAGGGGAGGGAACACATCTAAACTGGCCAGACTCAGCACAAAACTTGGCTTCTGCTAGCCTGGCTAGGAAGAAGCAATTCTTTAGGAAGGCTCCCCAGGGCAGGGTTGCCAGCACCTTCTCTCCCTCTCCAGGGCCCTTTCTCTGATTGTGGGGCAGGGGCCTGCTCAGGAGATCCCATGCAAGCACAAAGGTTGGGAGTGTGACTGGGGGCTGGGGACTGGAAAGAACTGTGCTGGGTTTTTACTCTCACCTATTAGGAGGTTGTTTGTTCTGTTATCTCAGACACAGCTGGCCCTGATGCTGGTGAGGAAGGGCCAGGGTACTCAGGCCTCACAATGTTAGCATTTTAGTCTTCCTACCACTGCTGACATTCGTGGCCTTCCCCCTCCTCTCCCAGAGGGTTGGGGGTGGGTGTCCAGCAGTCCTCACTCCCAGCAGGCATGAACAGCTGCTGCTACTGCTCCTTCTCCTGGGAATAGCTATCATCCCCAGAGCTAGGAGACTAATGGTTTAGTCACAGAGCCAGGCTGGCTCAATCCAGCCCAGGCTTCCCCAGCTCCAGCCGCTACCATAGCTGCCAGTAAGCAAGCACAGTCAGCAGGCTGAGCACCCTGAGGTGGCGTTAGGCCAGGAATTACTTTCCGTTCTCACAGCATCCCCCCAGGGCGGGGAAGGGGGGATAAGGGAGGGAAACCAGACCAACCTGAATGCTGGGGAGAGGGGAGAATGGGACAGAATGCCTCTTGGAGGATTTACCTATACAGTATAGACCTAAGGATGTGTCCTCAAGGGTAAAAACCTAGGAACGGACTCCAACCAGCAACTCTTGAAGTTAAATCTTCAAGACCAGATGGTATCAGGGACAAGGAAGAGCCACAGGATGAGGGGAGGGGAGGAAAGTTAAAGAAAGGAGAAGGAACACCCCCCACCCCCGAAAAAACATGCAGATTAGGCAATAGCTTGGGGGAGCAGTTCAACTCTAATTTTTAGAAAAGTGCTTGTTGCCGAAACCGGTTTGGCTCAGTGGATAGAGCGTCAGCCTGCGGACTGAAAGGTCCCAGGTTCGATTCCGGTCAAGGGCATGTACCTGGGTTGCGGGCACATCCCCAGCAGGAGATGTGCAGGAGGCGGCTGATCGATGTTTCTCTCTCATCGATGTTTCTAACTCTCTCTCTCTCTCTCCCTTCCTCTCTGTAAAAAATCAATAAAATATATTTAAAAAAAAAAAAAAGAAAAGTGCTTGCTTGGCAAATTCAACTTCAAGATAAATTATTCTCACCACCCACCCTCAAACCCCACCCCTGCCCCCAAACCCCACCCATATAGAAATGTTGGACTAGGTAAAGGAGAAAAATAATGCCAGACCAAGGTTAGAGGTACAGTATCATCAGTCTTTAATAACTTACAAATGCTAAAAAATAGTTAATACAGAGGACACACACATAGCTTACAAAATGGCAGTGGATCTACAAATGTGGGGAGAGGTTCTCGGCACTTTCACACAGACACTGGCATCCCTAGAAAAGCAGCCTGGGGGGACTCCCCCGTTGGGAGATGGGGAGACAGTACCCCATACCAAATGCATCCTCCAAGTAACTTTCCTTTGCCCTAAAACACATCTAATAAAAAAGCCAGAGAAAAACACGAAACAAGGTCGAGGTAGATTTGCAGTTTATACTGAAGCCTCAGTTCTGCAGCCCCGTGTCTAGAGGTGAGGATAGGGGAGGTGTGAGGAGACAACCCATCTCACATCCCCCTCCCCAGTACCACACCAAAGCAGGTCGCCCGGTGCGGGTGCCTCCGTCCTTCATTTAGGTGGGCAGGTCCTGCACCCTGGGGCTGAGTGAGGGGCCACAGGCTCTGCCTGGCTGTCCAAGTATAAAGACCCTACTGTGAGGGGGGGGGGGGGGGGGCTGGAGTCACCGTCTCTTCTTGCTGCCCCGGGCAGCTTTTTTCCTCTTGAGGATCATCTCATACAGGCGCTCAAGGCCGGGCTGCAGACCCACCCCGTCCACCGCGCTGCAGGCCTGCACGTGGGTGAGCGTGGCAGCAGCCAGCTCTCGGACTGCCAGCCTCTTCTCCACCTCAGCAGAGCTCAGCGCCCCGGGCTGGTCCTGCTTGTTGGCCAGCACCAACACGGGCACACCCTGGTTGTCAGAGGCCCGGCTGATCCGGTGCAGCTCCACCTTAGCCTCCTCCAGCCGCTCGGCCTCCGCAGCGTCCACCACAAACACCAGCCCGTCAGTCCGGCGGGTGTAGGAGCGCCACAGCGGCCGCAGCTTCTCCTGCCCGCCCACATCCCACACTTGGAAGGTGATGCCGCGCGACCCTCCCAGGGCCACCCGGATCTTCTCCATGTTGAAGCCTTTGGTGGGGACGCTCTGGACAAACTCCTTGAACTTGAGTCGGTAAAGGAGGGAGGTCTTTCCAGCTGAGTCCAGCCCGATGACCACCACGTGCAGGGCCTGGAAATGGGGCAAGAAGGAGGGGGTGGGCGCCATCTCTGTCAGGTGGTTCCCCATGGTGAGCTCCAGCGAAGGTGTGGGTGTTGGGGCTCACAGTAGAGGCGCAAAGGTGGCCTTGCAATCGCAGACTCCGGAGACCACAGCTGGGTTATCTAAACAAGGAAAGGTCATGAGAGAAAACAGGAGAAGAGGTTTAACCAACATGAAATGTGCAACTTCTTGATCTTTTCCTGAGTCAGCTTCCTTGTTAAAATTCCTTTTTTTTTTTTTTTTTTTTCCTTAAGCAGCTGCAGGTGTAACAAAGCCGCTCCCCTCTCCCTGGGGCGCTAACGAGGGCGATGAGACCTAGATAATCCCCCGGTCCCGGGACACTGAAGTGGGGGGTGAGGCCCGGATCCAGCGCCTCTTCTCCCGCTAGTGGTGCCGTAACAGACGCCACAACCCCTACTCCCCAGGCGGTAAGCCTGGCGGGAAGGGGCAGGTCGGACAGCGCCCGCAAATTAAGAGTTAGGGTGCCGGCGCTGAGACGGGAGATGGAGGCCCGCTCCCACCCACCCTCCACGTCCCCAGGCGGCTGACAGCGACCCCTCCTTACACGGAGACCCCTTCCCCAACGCCCCGCGACGCTCCGGGGCCAGCCTTCCGCTGATCGCGGACTCCAGCTCCCCAGGCCCCGCATCGGGGCCGCCTCGGCACGGCCCGTTCAGCCCCTTTACCTCCGTCCACGGCTCTCCCGCGGCGACCCTCCGGGCCAGCCACCCGAGCAGTCGCGCCGACCTCCCCGCCCGGCTCCAGCGCGCCCGCACTGCCCCGCGGTCCCCGGGACTCGCCCTTAAAACCCGCGGGTGACGTCACGACGCGCGTGCCAATCAGCAGCCCCGCAGCGGGGGAGTGGGCGTGGAAATATGCGCGCTGCAGCCCGGACCTCCCCGTGACGGGTGTCTGCTCCATCCGTGACCGTTTTAATTGGTCTTTTTCTACCATATTCTAATATTTGCTATTAAACTCGGGAGGGCTCAGGGATAGATGGTGGGAGGGGCAAAGGGAACACACGAGTGGCAGCCTTTAACTCGTGAGAGGTAAAGTTTCATAATACCACCGCCTCCCCTCCCCAGGCAGTTTCCACACACACGCAAAATCCCTCCACCAGGTTATTTTTCAGGGCTGCTGACAAGTCTTCCTCCTTTATCTTTCCTAATTCAATATCCAAACCCATGTGAACCTAGAACCCCATAAAAGTCTGAACACCCTTATGGATTCTCACTAAAGCCCTAGAGGTAGGGACTGGTGTTGCTGCATTTTATAGGTGAAGAAAGCTCAAAAGGGTTCAATTACTGGTCCATGATCACACATAGTAAGAGGCTGAGCAAGGATCTGAATCCAGTGCCTGGGCCCTGACCACTGAACTACCCCTCTCCTCTCATAGGGAGGGCCAAGCATCCCCAGCAAAAAAAGCCCTCAATTGCTGGTCTGAGTGCTGGCCAGCAGCAGACCCTTCAAGGGCCTCCCTTGTTCAAATAGACAAGGACAGGATTCTTATTCACTCCACAGGGCAGGCGTTTATTCACCTCATTCACATTGTGTGCTCTGCATGAGCCAGAGAGACCATGGCGATATAGATGCTGTGCAGGCCACAGGGTCTGGCCTCAGAGGGCTTACACTCTAGTGATAGAGACAAGATTGGCCACTAACAGGTGTGGACAAAAAGGGGTTCTACCCAAAGTAACCTTACAGGGTGATCTGATCATAAACTCCAATTCCTGCCCTGGCTGGTAGCTCAGTGGTAGAGCCTCAGCCTGCACACCAAAGGGTCTTGAGTTTGATTCAAGGTCAAGGGCCAAGGGCAAGTAGCTGGGTTGCAGATTCAAACCCGGGCCTAGTCAGGACATGTGTGGGAGGCACCCAATGGATGTGTCTCTATCACCTCTCTCCCTCTCTCCTTCCATCTCTCTCTCTCTCTCTCTATCTATCTCTCTCTATCTCGCTCTCTCCCTCCTTCCCTCCCTAGGTTAATACCCCTGTGCATCTAGGTTAACAAACCTTTAAAATAAGCTTAACTGCAAGGAAAGCACATATTCTTGTTAACTATCCTGTAATGTAGCAATTTTCAACCTTTTTCATCTCATGACACATAAACTAATTAATAAAATTCTGCGGCACATCAAAACAATATATTTTTTGCTGATCTAACAAAAAAACTGGGTATAATTTTGATTCATTCACACCTTACAGTTATTGTAGTGTTGGCTGTTGTCATTTTTTTTTTTTATTTGACCATCCCGGGCAGCGGTTCTCAACCTGTGGATCACGAACAATGAAAATACATCCTGCATATCAGATATTTACATTACGATTCATAACAGTAGCAAAATTACAGTTATGAAGTAGCAACGAAAATAACTTTATGGTTGGGGGTCACCACAACATGAGGAACTGTATTAAAGGGTCGCGGCATTAGGGAAGTTGAGAACCTTAGATTCTAAGGGGAAAGAGGTCAGTACCCCTGACTAAATAAATAGTCAGGTATTGCACATTTTAAAAATTCTTGCGGCACACCAGAGTGCCGAGGCACACTGGTTGAAAATCGCCCCTGTAATCCAATCCACGCCTTGGTTTCTCCCACCCTTATGTAATCTTTCTTGCTTCCCTGCTTAATTTTAAATGCATAAGCAAAACTGTCATTCTCTGGAGCATTTGAGATCTTGCTTCCCAGCAATTGTCATTAGTTTTGGCTCAATTAAAGTCTGATAAAAATTCTCCACAGGTTTGAATGTTTATTTCATCAATCACAGGGAATGCAGGGACAGGACAGGACAGTATATGTATTAGGCCTTTGTAAATCTTGACTTGTAAAACTGCAGAGAAGGGAGAAAGTGTGAAATGAAAGCTTCTGGAAAGGCTTCTGGAAGTTCATTAGTCCTGTGTAGGATTGATTAGGAGGGGCTCAGGGCTGGGCGGCATCTTCCCAGCCATTGCAGATGATACCATCTGGGCATTCTTAAAGAGGACATGTCACAAAGGGGCAGTGTAACCAAAATGAAAACAGCAAAAGGATGACAGTGACAACAAGGTAAAATTGGAGGAGAGGGGGATCAAAGGACAATGGAATTATAACTCTAACAGCTCCATTTTTACAAGGTGACTGAGTTCTTGCATTTATTACATACTTCAGTGTTAACCTTTTAAAGGCTATATTTGAGGGGGGTTAGAAAAAGGGGAGGGGCAGTCATTGCCAAACAAGAAGGCCTAGCCCTTCCTGCCCACAAGCTCCCCATCTGTTTAGCACCAGCCTGCCTTGCCACCTCCTTCATCCCCTCCCTGCTACAAAACCAGCCACTTGGTTACTACCTCCAAGATGCTGGAAACCTCTTTGAATCCCTGAGGAGATTAAGACCCTAGGAAATTAGTTTATTACGCCCCCACTTCATGGGGGTAACAGATGGCTGCAGGAGCTAAGGCACAGAGGTAGAGCTGAGCACGGTGAGTTAGGAGAGGGAAAGACAGAGCAGGCCAAGAGGTAGGCGACCACTACCCCCGTGAGTGACCACTGCATGCCAGACTCTGGTCTAGGAACTTTGCATACTTTTTCCTTTTTTAAAAAAAATATTTTATTTTATTTTATTTCATTGATTTCAGAGTGAGGGAGAGGGAGATAGACATAGAAACATCAATGATGAGAGAGAATCATCAATTGGCTGCCTCCTGCACGCCCCCTACTGGGGATCGAAGCAACCCAGGCCTGTGCCTCCTGATTCATGGGTCAACACTCAACCACTGAGTGACACAGGCCAGGCACTTTTCCTTTTTTATTTTATCTTATTTTATTTTATTTTTCAATTAGCAATAATTGTGCCTCAGATAAACCTCATTGGCTGCAATACTGCCACTGTTCAAAACTCACTTTTCCTTTTTTAATACACAGCTGAATCCAAGAACTATAGTTCTTCTAAAAGGAAAAAACCAAAGCACAGAAAGGTTAGGTAATTTACCCAAGGTTACCCAGCTAGAAATTGGCCAAACACGGCTTTGAACAAATGTTTCAATGGCTATGAAACCCAAACACACACAGAAACAGAGAACTGAAAACATACATACAGATTGACTTATGTTTCTTCAACAATCTTTGAAACTTTTTTTTAAATATATTTTTATTTATTTCAGAAAGGAGGGGAGAAAGAGAGGTAGAAACATCAATGATGGGAGAGAATCATTGATTGGCTGCCTCCTGCACACCCCCTACTGGGGATGGAGCCCGGAACCCAGGCATATGCCCTTGATCAGAATCGAACACAGGACCCTTCAGTCCACAGACCGATGCTCTATCCACTGAGCAAACTAGCTAGGGCAATCTTTGAAACTTCTTTAACATTTCCCCAATATCTCCTGGGCCCCACAACCAATAAGGAAACTGTCACTTGATTATCTGATAAAGGATAAGAAAGTGGCGATCTCACCCCACCCTTCATCTTTTGTGTTTGCCAGAGAAGGTGTTGAACAAATGGGAAGGAGAAGATGGGGCAGGGAGGAATGAAGGAAGAGGCCCAGCTTTTCAGGGTCACATCAGGCTCTGGCCCTGTCCCAGTCATGTCTCCTTTAGGCGGGAACTCCAGTCTCCACCCCCAGCGCTGGCCTCAGGAATGACCATTTGCTTTCCTGGCATTCTGACCTCTGCAGCCGTTTCTCTCCACAAGATCACAGCCCAGGACCTAGTGCACTGGGGGATTCGCTGCAGAAAACATTCAAACACTTTTACTTTTTGCCCAGATCAGGGGCTCCTCTGTATCAAACACTGAAACATTTGTACAGAGAACACTCATATATGGAGTGCCTGCTACATGCAAGGCGCCACTCCACTTTAGGCTCTGAGTATACAGCCCCGAGTGAGATGGACGAGGACCTGCCCTCGTGGAGTGCACATCCTAGTGGGGAGTGGGGAGAGACAGGCAATGAATAAAGACGCTAATTTCAGATGGTGATACATGCTGTCAAGGAAGATAAAGCAGACCCATGTGCTGGGGAGTGGTGGGGGGAAGGGAATGACTTCAGATAGAGCGGATACTCAGGAAGCCCTCTCCAATTGGTAGCATTAGAACCCAGGTTTAAGTGACAAGGAGTCAAGCAGGCATTCTAGACAGGACCGACGACCTGGGACCTATCTACTTCCCCCTGCTGGTTCCCCCACCTGGATCAGGTTGCACCTGCTGTGTCACTGCTTTTCCTCAGAGCTGTCTCCCCCATCAGACAGAGCCCTGAGCCCAGGAGCTGGCTTTTCTCATCTAAGCTCTGTAGCACCCAGCGCCACGCCTGGCACACTAGGCAGTCAGGAAATCCTGCAGGAATTTAGGAATGCGTGAGGGAATGGTTAAATATGGGAACCAAACATTCACCCCTGGGGTCCTTAAGCCCTCGGGAGTTCTGTTGATATTGAGGTGAACATTCTTGGCAAGGTCTGAGTAGTATTGAACTCGAAGGCCTTTGGGAGGGGGGGCGGACTTCTTGGAGGAGCAAAACAGAGGCTAGGGGTGGGGATGACATTAGAGAGAGAGGCCCACCTCAAAGCCTGGCAGGCTGGAACCCTGGGCTGAGAGTCATCATGAGTTCTGCCCCTCACTAGTAGATGGTTTGGCAAAGCCACTCTCACCCCCCCAAGTACTCCTCCAAGCCTGTTTCCTCAGCATGTGATGAGGGGCTTAGATGATTCTGGGTCCCTTCCTCATGACAGTCCATGTTGTGCAGTAGGGAAGGGAGGGAATTGATGGAGCTTCCCTAGGAAGTGGCTGAGGACATCCTATTTTTTAATATATGCTTTTATTTATTTATTTATTTATTTATTTATTTATTTATTTATTTTAGAGTGAGAGAAA